GGGAGCAGGCAACAGTTTGTTCAAATTGGTGAACAAAAATCCAACTTTTCAAACATTCCTTGTGGTGTCCCTCAAGGGTCAATGTTTGGTCCTGTTTTGTTCACTCTATACATATGTAAGGTTTCAGAAAAGTTAAGGTTTGTCTTATTTGCTGATGACACCAACATCCTTTGTTCAGGGGACAATCTACAACAGCTCTTGGAAATCTGAAATAAGACAGTTAGAAAGCTCGTTCGATATGAATACACTGTCTTTAAATCTGACCAAAACCAAACTTATGTTATTTGGAAATCGGAAAACTAACATACAAGTTCAAGTTAAGATAGATAATATTGACATAGAGAGAGTGAGTCAAATCAAATTTCTGGGTTGTTGTTGGATCACAAGATCCGTTGGAAACCTCACATAAACTATATAAAATCTAAACTGGCAAGGAGCATTGCAGTTATTGAGAAGTTGAGGCAATCACTGTCCACACTTTACTTCTCACTGATACTTCCATATATGACCTATCGTGCAGAGATTTGGGCTAGTACATATCAAAGTAATCTACAACCTTTATACATTCTCCCCAAAAAAAACAGTCGGGATAATCAACAATGCAGGACATTTGGATAACACAAACCCTTTGTTTTTGAAATCACATGCCATGAATCTTACCAATTTAATCAACCACAAAACTGCAATGATAATGTTCATGGCATGGAATGAAACTTTACCAGGCAACTTGCAAAAACTATTCAGTGACAGAGAAGGTTGTGGTTTGAGAGGTGAACTCGACTTCAAAACACAGTACGCCTGGAAAACTTTGAAGAGTATGTGTATCTCAACCTGTGGAGTGAAACTATGGAACAAATAAGATATCCAATTTAAACAAATGAATAATATCAATTGTTCATAAGTGCAAACAAAAAACAAATGAAGAGTTCATTTGCAAAAACAGATAACTCCATCTTCACAAGCCCTCAGAAAACCCACTTTCCATCGTCTACCTGAGACGATATCAACCAAACTTAAGTTATCTCTGCTTCTGTCATGTCATTTCTACTGAGTCAAATCCACTCAACTTCAGTTTGATTGATATTACTTCAATCAAAAAACAAAAAAAGTTTTTTGAATATCTACAAAAATGGAGTTGTATGAACTCTTCATATATTTAATATAAGGAGGAAGACAGGTTGCATAAATGCTGGTATTACTTATCATATACAGTATAAATCTTGTAAACATATCTGTAGTTGTAGTATACGTCCATAGCTGTTATTTGTTTATGTTAATTGTTGGTATTACATATATCCTAATGAGGGCGACTAAATTTTGTTATATACAATATTGTATATTAAATCCATTACTTATTAGTATGTGTATGTATATAGGCCTATACATATATTTATGTAGTGTACTGTTGTAATATATTTATACTGGTTATATACATTTCTATAACAATTTATTAGTAAATTACATATTTATTATAAAGAAATTGATTATGTATATGGCACAATTAAATACTGTATATCCATGCAGTGAATTGATTATATATTGAATTATTTTACATTAAATCCATTTATTATATATAGGAACATGTCATATTGGAGTGAATGATAGGGTGATAAGGGGGTGGGAGTTCATAAGTTTATACTTCTTCCTGCTCCTTTTCCAACTCATGTTTGTACATTTTTTTTGGCGGACTTCTCCTTTAAACTATGATCCTCACTTCCTGGCTTTGTGGTGTTATTTAGATCATTTATATGATATCAGAGATAGATGCTGTCATGTCGTCAAATCTAATTCCAATTTTAACCGAGTTCATTACAAAACAATAACAGGAAAAAACAAAACAAGAAAACAACAACAACAACAACAAACATGTAAGGACTGAGATTGGAATAGAGCCATGGGCTACCATTGATATAATCCAATCTCTCAAATCTAATTAAGGCTGGTTCTGCTGATTGATGAGCTTGTTACAGAAGCAACAGTAGCCACGAAAATGCTGTTAGCGTCTTCCTGAATCTCAGAACTAGAACCACAACGCTTCTCTCTTCACTGTTGCGATCAGACATTTTACATGATGATACGGAACACGTAAACAGAGGGAAAAAATCAAACACTTAATGTAAAATTGTTTTAAATTAAAACCTCCTTTCTGCTATTTGAAGTGAGCTTACCAGTGAAGAGGAAGAGGAGAGACACAGAGATGTACATTTTCCTGATCTGATCTGATGCTTGACAGAAAACAGACAACAATGAAGAAAGTTAAGACACTTGATCCAAATGCTGCGTCTTTTCATTATGAAAAAATGATTGATTTACAACTTGAGGTCATGCGAATCAATATTGATCCACACGGCATGTTTGCTGTCACAACTGATCCATTGCATCAGTGCAGAAAGAACACTTTAGTAAGCTTGTAAACATCATCAAACTATTAGGTGAAGCAACATGTTTTTCACTTGTATGGCCACAATATTTCTCACCGTAACATCATGCAAACAGCTGAACTTAACAGCTTTCTGTGTGTAAACAGTTTATAAATAGAAATGTAAAAAGTCAATGGATTTCAGTGTCTTACCAGTGATCTTCCTTGTGCTCTTTTCTTTTCTGACCTGCAACAGCGGGAGGCAGAAATGACACAGTCAGTGATATGCTGGGTTGGGCACAAGGAGAGCAGCAGCTGGAATGGAGTTGGGCGGGAGGGTTGGATGGAAGATCGCCTTAAAGTGCTGCCGTACTGTACAGTTCAGATTCTCTCTGTCTGGACTGATGCAGAAATTGAAAGGGTGACTCATGTTGCTCATATTTTACCCTCTCTGGCTGAGGGGGCCTTTATGATATAATAATGAGACATATATTTATACATGTGATTGATTCAGCTGAGATTTCAACAAAATGATGTTGGGATGGGGTTTGTTGGACGGCAGAGCAAACAGGAGGGTAACAGCGAAGTACAATCCAAGCAAATGACATTCCCTGCTCAACAACAAAAGACTGGAGTCATTTGAGGATAAGCAAATAGAGCTGCAAAGGCTAATTATCAGAAAACTCAACAGAGAAACATGAGAGCCTCAACATCATCTGTTGATCCGCGCCGGTATAACTCCTATGACAGGGCCACTGGTCCAGCTCTCTGTTTCTAGGGTTAGGTTCTACCTGCCTACAGGCCCTTGACCTATTAGGATTCTGAAAAAATGGTAAAGCTGGTGTTGAGGAAACTCGCCTCGCTTCTAACTACCTTAATCCATGCTTCCTCTAATAGTCGACTCAACTAAGTAGCATCAGTAGTCAAGTCATTCTACCAGACACGCCTGTTGATGGCAGCTTTCCTCTTAATGGATCGAGCAAAATACTACTTTACTTTTGACCACAAAAACAAGCGCACTTAGCCAACGGCAGAATGTTCAGAACTCTGGCGATGTTCAGCAAAGAGTTCCGTGAGCGTTCTCCGGTCCTCTGGTCAGAACGGCCTCCTCAACTGAACACCGACTGAAGCGATCTCTGACAAAAGTCTCTTTGTTGTGCCTTTTTATACAGTATGCAGCTCTCCCCCTCTACACATTAACTGTCTGTCTTTAACACATACACATGATTACACACACACACACACACACACACACATTCCTAATAAATGTTTCATCTTTTTATCCCTTCGCCATGATGAGTTTTATCCTTTAGCTCAACATCCAATTCCGGGTTTGGAAATAGGAAAGAGCACAGTTTAGTAAACACAAGAAACACTTGTTTACAAAAAGCTTAAGCAATGAGTTCATTCTGCGAGCATCCTGTGGACAGCGGCTTCATGTCCAGACATGACCCGTCTTAAGGACGCTAACCTCATTTGCCCTTTTAACATCTTCACCTTTTCCCTCATCTACACTCGTTTATATACTTTAAATCAAGATTACAAGAAATCACCTTTAATGTATTACAACGTTAGAATCATTATCCCAAACTTAACCTATTGATCATCTGGTCAGTTCAAAAATTATTACTTCAAATTTTAATCACTCAGTCATCAGGTTACAGCATTTCTCATCATGGAGTCTTTTACATTGCTTACTTGGAGCCAGTGTTTTTTGTTAGTGGCTGCTTCTGGGATCTCAATCCTTAGCTCCACTTGAAACATCCTT